ATAGCTTCTATAAAAGAAATTAAGTCTATTCAGAAAGGTTCGTTATGATTCACACTCAGCTTGTAAACTATTTAAGAATAGGACCATGTGATATGTATCCATATAATATGTGCGTTTTGTTTGGCAGTCTGTTCTTGGTGATATTTATCCATATAATGTGTGTTTTGTTTGACAGTTTGTTCATGGTGATATGCATCCATATAATATGTGTGTTTGTTTGACAGTCGGTTATATTTTGCTATGTATATATGGATCGATATTCCATTATAATTAGCCAATCATGCTAAGACTGTCTATTGATTTGTTCATTTTGAATATTCGCTCACACACTTGTTCGGACATTCACACTAAATTGCTCTCTCACTCTTGTGTGACATATTGATTCTCCTTGTGTTTGGAAAATAGAAGTATCATCGCAAACCTAGTGGTCTTCTGATTTCCGTCTTTCTTGCATCAGGACTATTAGTTTCTCGACCAGTACATAACAATAATTTGGTGACGAGTACATAATACCATGTTACACTCGAAGCACAGTGTAGTTTTCCACTTCCATGCAACAGCCGTAAAAAGTTCCGCTTGGACGACCTGAATAATTGGTAAGGGTTAACGATTGCATCCCACTTATTATTGAGCGTAATACAATTCACTATGCGTCGGTGGCATAACGGTTAGGACGCTCGCCCACCATGCACATGGTCCGGAGTTCAATCCCCGGCCACCGACGCACTCCTTTACCTCGCTAAGCCAGAAATAATGCTGGTAAAGAGGAAACGTTGGGCATGAGGCTAGAAACCCCATCCTGTAAAATAAACACTGCTACAGAAACTTCAAGCCACTAGCTCGATGCCCTATTTTCCACTAGGGAACGTGAAGGAAAAGAAAAAAAATACAGTTCACTAAACAATATCACACAGTTAGTCTAATAACACCTAAAAACATCGGATAGCTGATTCGTTCCACTCATCTACTTTAACTAATCAACAGTGAGAGGAAGATGGCAATACATATATTTCACGAGTGTCTATTCATACAGGATTATTGCCTAACGAAATGTATTCTTATAAACAGAACTACTTATGATGGAGAAGATTTGTAGCTCAGGCGGGTAATTTTGATGTAGTTGTGTTCTCTGAACTACTCATATAAGACTCCATATAAATACCTAGTAAAAAAGTAGTGTACATTCTGAAGCTGAAACATAAGATCAAGACGCATAAAGTGACAACCAACCATAAACCTGACGACTGGTGATCGTGCTGACAGGCTCCGATAAAAATGTGTATGTACCAATGGAAGACACTAACATATAACCTTTCGAATTATGGTGCTGATGATAGCTGCTATTTTAGCTTTGTGACCAGGCTTACAGATGCCTATGACTTGACGAGTTGTATTGACAGAAACGAATGCACCTGCGAGGAAGATCGATCGGCTGGCAGTAAACATGATAAGGTAAGTTGTTTATCATACGTTGAGTCTGAAGGCGAGCTCTCTAAAAATCCACTCTGCCGTCTATTTCTTATGGCATATGGGACAGATTAAACTACCTAAAACACATTCTTTATTATTAATGTTCCTTCGGATTCCAAGTGGAACATAGGGTTAAACACATGCTTTAGATGTGTGTCATTTCTCTGAGACACCTATAATAGGCCGGATTGTGGACATTTACTTATTCCTAACTTGTCAACGAAATTTTCTCAATGATTGTGAGCTGACTGGCTGTGTTTCAAAGTGGAAGTTTGCACAAAAATGAAGGAGTTCAGGTAGCACAGCAAAGAACACAAGTCCAAGGAAGAAAGACTAGTAACATAAAGAAAAATGAGGATTTAAAGGGTTTGAAAAATTCCAAAATCTGAATCCATCTGCGTTACTGAGTCATATCACCGACAGTCTCAGGCAATCGATTCTTAGCATCTGGAGGATCACAGGCAGTCTTCATTTCCCCAAATGACTTAAACCAACAGTCAAATATATATATGGATTGAAACCAGGTCATCGTTCGACCATTCCAAACCCTCTCCCAACACAATCCTACATCCATTAATACTGCTCGGTGAAGAAGGAAATGGTTTGGCGTGTCACGCGTATCCTAGCCATCTCAATCGATGCATCTTCTTAACTTATCGATTGACTTTCGCTCGTTACTCAACACTGCAATAAACCCCAGTATTATACAACATACTGTCCCAAATAACAAGGGAGGCAAAATGAAAACACATGCAGTCAAAGACAGCCAGCCCTCCCTTTCCACTTCCAATGGTGACGTCTCACAGCCATGGTTGTAGGGGACAGTACTGCTGTACAGTGCATACATCTTTTAATCGGAAGAACATCAAGTCTACGCCAGATGACTCCAGCTGACAAATGCCATAATAGCTTTTTCTTATCCGTGCTGAAATTTCGTCAGTAATCAGTAGATTAAGGCTGACACAACTTCCTAAATGAGTCAAGTAGGCAACACAGTTAGCCATTTCACCCTCTCCCCTTAAACAAGAAATTGGTGAAGATAAGTCTTGCAGAAACATTTTACAATCGATAGGGATAAGTGTACTGGAGCCTACTCTCAATGTGCATTTTGTCAGCATCTCTGAATGGAACACAGCAGTTCTTCGGTGACAACACCAACAGCATATTTTAGATAGGACGACAATACTTTGGTAGCAAGTCGATCTCTAAGTAGCCACAATGGACCATGGTCGCTTCTATTAGTACACTTATGCAATGAAACAAGAATGGGGACATTCTGCGTTATCGACGGGTACCACTGGTTGTTATTACTTCACAGTGTGACTCTTCGTAAGGTCTTACACGGCTGAGTGAATCGAAGTAGGGGGTCTAAATTAATGTGTTGTGCTCTCTAGACACTCTTCACTGTCAGACAGTCACAGCATTTCTCAGTCGACGAACTCAGATTACGCATTTAGGTCCAGAAATATAGCAAGTGTCCCAGAATGTGTCTAAAGGTGAAGATAGGACCAATACAACCTTGTTCTGGCTTTGAGTCTAACTGATTCCTAAGGGTTTGTTTTCACCGAACACAGCTTAGTCTACGCCTGATTACTGAATCTCGAAATTCTAATAATACATTAGTCGACCATATCCCCCTACGAATATCACAGGAAGACTTGTCTCCATCAAGGCTTATAAATTGACATAAACAATGATCTACACCGGTTCAATGGAACTTATCAGATATACACATGTCACCTAATATCACAGTTAATCTCGGTTTCGAATCTTACACCACCAACACCATTACGGTAATATCGTCATCTCTCAACACAAGTGTAGCTAATAATCTAGTGTATGAATTGTCTAATCTGGTCAGCTAAGTACTGACAGCCCCCCCATTTGCAGTTTTAAGTTAAGTGTATTTAAGTAAGTGTTCCTCAGTAACTTGACTGACGAAATTCTAATCATACGAATTTATAGCGCCAAAAATCGACAGTCGTCTTATTTTGTTGTCCAAATTAGCAGGCCTTAAAGCGTTCAATTTACACCACAATTAAAAACCCTGTGGTGTAATAACTTTGTGTTCTTGACTACTTGGTTCGCTTGAATAGCTCCAGTTGCAGCCCAAAGTGGTACAGGTTTGTATAACAAAGGGAACACCAGTCGCTTCTATATGATGCATACACCTGTAAGTGATCTAGTAGTGTGTAGGGTCAATGGACTCTGATTTTTTTATTGAAAATGAACCCATGTAGCTAAACTTTAACAGCCTTCACCAGGTAAGTCCTGATAATTACCAGTCCACCTAGTTCAGCTGATGCCCATCACCTCAAGATTCTGGCAAAAACCAATGGTTTCTAAGCTTGTTTCGGTCATGGGTAACCAATGGAACACTGCTCCTGACGTTGGTTAATCGTCTTGTGAATCACATTTCGAGGCAAATCAGCACAAAGTGGTCCGTCAAGACAGTTATATATGTTTCGGTATGGGCATCTGGGCTGTAGTTGAAATCAAATATATCAACCAACACTATTTGGCAGCCAGATACAACTGACTATTGTTTCGTTGGTTCGAGGTTAAACTCAACTCAGAGCCAAATCAGTTCATAAAAGCGGCATTGTAACCAACTACCTTGTTGAATCGGTAGTGTGTTGATAAAAATTAATTGTTAAAAATATACAAAAATCTCTCTTCCAGTGTAGGAACCGGACTTCTTCAAACTGCAGAAGCAATGGCGATCCACTTGCTAAACTCTGAAATCTGCATACAGGAGAAGTTCGTTCAATCACTACACTTGCAATGGACGTAATCTACCTTATTACCCGACAAGAAAATTTGACCTCATCTTTTTTTCTGTCTCTTCACTAGTATTATTTTGTCTTCTCAATTGCAACATTTTACATTCTCAACTTTCTTGTTTTCTACCCCCACCCGATTTAATTTCTACACCTCACTACCACTGTTACTGACTTGACCGACACTCAGTTTCTATTCATTTATGTTACGTCGTCCAATATATTTACACAATTTCAGTACTAATTTAAATGGCATCATTCTCTACCCCACTTCTACTCAGTCTCTACATGTAATTACCTCTCTTGCTACCTTGACCTAAGTTGAAACATTTTAGTCAATTATATGACGTCATCTAACTTACTAACTCAATCTTACTTTAGTCGTTGTCTGATTAAACTTGTTTCTGTATTGGATTATTCTTTTATTACCTGATCAATGATCTAAACTTGACAAACCTTATGCACACACACACAAATAATTATATAGAAAGGCGATTGTACTGCTATGTGAATGAATTCGCGGGCGAAAAGAGTCTCTCCGCTGAACGTTTTCTCTTTTTCAAATGAATAATTGTTTTCAAATACATTTATTATCACATTCATTTTATCACATTTATGAACAGTGAGAACCGTAAATGTACGGTAAAATGAACATGGTAATCAAGAGGAACAGACAAGACAATAAATATAGTGATACGTTTTTTTCATATCACATAAAAGCATCAAATAGTATTTGATTCATAAGTAACGTTAGATAGCTGATTTACTGAAACTGACCCGAAGACGCATTTTCTCTTCGATGGGATAATCATGCATTGTCTGGAACAAAACAAAAAAAGGACAGAACAATGTGAAAACAGAATATACTAGATAAAAATGAATTCAGCAAAACTTTATGGACACGATTCCTTGTCTTTGTATGGATTCACTAGCTCATGTGCTGCTAATATATACAACCTGTATTGACACAATAATATCTAAATTAGTTCATTAACTCCTCACTATGAACATGACTTTCGAAATTAGAATGCATATCAGTCAATTATAGATTATTCCTTCCAACTACACAGCATTAATAACTTGCACGAATAGATGCCTTCGCTGACTCCATGTTGAAGATCAAATGGCCAGCTGGCCGGCCGGAAAGAATCAACAACAAGAAAATATGCGAACAATCTGACTGAGAACCTATCGTTCAACAAATATGTGGGAGAAAATGTAGGTGGGTAGGGCACACACTGAAAAGAAAGTAGAATGATGTTACGAGCCAGGCCATCGCTCGAGTCGCACCCGAACAGGAAGCGACTGGTGGGTCCTCGGTGTGACAGTGACATGGAGGAGATCGTGTGGCCAGGAGGAGATGAGAGACTATGGGGAATCGTGGGGTTATGCAATTAAGGATGATAGCAGAAAACAGAACAAAGTGGAGATGTGTTGTTCAAGCCGCTTGGAGCCCAAGGGAACAATATTAATAATAGTAAGTTAACTTATTGTGATACAGTGAGTGAGACCAAGGGGTTGAATGAAATCACTTATGTACCTCCATTATACAACAGTAGCTCCTGATGTTAGCTAAAAAATCTTTGAACTATCCATACATATACGCTTTTAAATTTGGTCTCTTTTTATCAACAATATGATACACTATCTTCTCAACTTTTTGAAATGTATGGTAAACTTTGACACGCCTTCATTACTCTCTCTTCAAAAACTATAAACTCTTTCTTGCATACACAAATTTCTATTTCTAAGCAATATCAGTGAGTCGTCAGTCAAACTGACTTAAATGCAACCAAGTTTAAATTATGTAATATACAACAATATACACAAGTTCCTTTAAAATCGCTTTACAACTAGCACGGTTCACACAGTAACAAAATAAAGTACAGTATTTGACAATTAACTCACACACACACACAAATAACTAATCATCATTTAGCAGGTAAATTAAAAATCTATCATAAGATAACTACGAATTGATAGTAATCTTGCAATATTTATCTTCTAAGTGCCTTATTTAAATTCACCCAAAGGAGTAACCTGTTTCAGATAATAAACTGACTCAGTTGTTAAAGCTTGTATTTTATCTCAAACATATGACAATTGACAGAACTACAATAATTCTCAGCTGATCTATTATTGTAGCATAATATTAAGCAATACTTAACTTAAAATCAATTCAGAAACTTGATCACCCCTAATTATAAAGAGTGTAACGAATAATCTAATAGATAAAAATTTGTAGAATGACTAAACTCTACGCTAAACTTTACTTACAATCAAGGCTGAAATCGCCTCCTCCAAAGTTTCTAATTCTACAAGTGCCATTTTCTTCTCAGCTCTAAAATGCATAAATCATATGGGGGAAATTAGATTAAATGCAAGAGGATATATATACATATTTACGAAATACCTGAATACTAATTTACTGGATTAAATAAAATATCGTTAAAAGATCAAATAAATAATGTTTGAATAAGACAACTAAACTGAACACCTTATCATTTGCTCAAGTTTCCCTTAAAAAGTTTATAGCGATGTATACACTTTTTTCTGTATTCGGTCACTGGTCTGTCTCTCTCTAGGATGTATTACTGTAGAATGGGATAAAACTAAGGCAACATTAATATGTTTCACTTATATTCATGAAATAGATTCAGCGCTTCTTCGATGTAGTTATGTTCTCTCAGCCAGATGATTTATTTCAGTAGCTTTCATTGCCCTACTAAGCAGCATCTTCAGTGCATACTTCAATCTGAAGTGAGCTTTTACATTTCTCCACGAGTTTATTAGTCATCTCTCCTGGGGACCTTGAAAGTGACTGGTTATTTTTATGTTTTCGCACCCTCTAGACTAATTGTATTCAGCTCTACTTGTAGATTCATCACTAAACGCTATTATTTTCGAAGTGTACACCTTAGATTATGCACATCTTCCCTGTAAATAATATTGGCAGTTCAGGAAACATCGGCAGTTCTACTACTCTGGTAAATGTGGGTCCATCTTACATCCTCAGTTAGGTTGATAGAAACAATGTAACTTAGTGCTTATAATGCTATGAAATGTAGTTTTATTGTCATGCTTTTGTGATATTCTTTAAAAGTTGAGGCCACACTACAACGATGATAATCATGTTAGCTTACGGTAAAAAACTAAATCTCAAGGATAATTTTTAAATTAATTCTTACTTGAAAGTTTTCACCCGAGAAACACGGCATTCACAGATATGTTCAAAGACATTCTTCAATTTCTCCTCATCTACCACATCAGGAAGATTTGTCACATGAAGAACTTTAGATGGAGCACAGATATTAAAGTGATTCCGTGAATTGACATGTTTAAATCGGTGCAGTTTATGCCCACTATAATCACACGTATTTTGTGATTCATCACCATCAGGTGTATATAAAATATTTTGTGGCATATTAATATACGTATTTTTCGAAAGAATACATCGTAAAGTTTTACCATATAAAGGTACACCGTTCAAAAAGTTCACAGCTAAAGAGAAAACGAAGTAATACATAGAAGAGGACAGATGATTAATTGCAGCTATATTATATATTAAGTGGCAATGGTTTTTTCATCTATTAAATTTTAACAAAAGTGCTAGGCAAGCACAAGCACAGTGGTTATGTTAGCTAAGATGGTGGAATTTCAACAGCTAGAGTAAGACATCTTATCAGTTATCAACTCACACTCACATCAAACACCGCAGACAGTATGCGACTACACCTGCTTTTCGCATAAAATCAAAAAAGTAAACAATAAATAACTTGCATCGTTTTACGACGTTAACATGAATTAACTCAACAGAGAGAAAAATTTGACTTGCAGAAAATGATATCACAAAACAATAATATTTACTACTGATAAAGGTATTTTTTCCTTCACGTTCCCCAGTGGAACATAGGGCTTCAAGCTAGTGGCTTGAAGTTTCTGTAGCAGTGTTTAGTTTTTACAGGATGGGGTTTCTAGCCTCATGCCCAACCTTTAGTCTTTACCAGCATTATTTCTGGCTTAGCGAGGTAGAGGAGTGCGTCGGTGGCCGGGGATCGAAGCCCGGACCATGTGCATGGTTAGCGAGCGTTCTAACCGTATAGCGGTTACCACCAATGCATGATGTATGATGTAGAAGAAATCATGGGTGCATTATTGACTTTACATTTTTGAAAACAATTCCACTAAATTTTTGAAAATCACGTACACAAAATAGTAAGGCTAAACGGATTACTTCACCTTTTTGTCAAAGTTAAATTAAGAAAGTAAAATGTCTGCATCGGTGGCTTGGCGATAGAATGCTGTATAACCCTTGACGTGGTCAGAGATTCGATTTCCGGCAGACGAACTCCATTAACCCGCTGAGCCAGTAATACGACTGGTAAAGCGGGAAAGTTGAGCATGAGACTAGCAACCACTAACACCGCAACTTCACAGCTCTACCTTGAAACTCTATGTTCCACTGGGAAAATAAAGGAACAAAATATTGTACGATTCATTTTACAACGTATACCATCTACGAAATGTTAAGAGAAACAAACGGTAGCTGGGCGACAAGAATGCGAATAACACGGTGGTGACATACACACACTATCTATTTTTAGATGCTTACTGATTGGGAGAAGAGGAATGATTAATATAACAGTCACATAATAAAATTATTCAAAGACGTCATGTGGTACAGCTACCAAGGCAACTTAGCATGTAAGATGATAGGCCTATTCCCGTATATCTACAAATAGGATATTTTTAAAAACTTTCGTTTTTTATTGCTTTACGTTCCCAGGGCTTCACGGTAGAGCTGAGAAGTTTCGGTGTCAGTGGAGTTTATTTTTACGGGATGGGGTTGCTAGCCTCATGCCCAACCTTCCCTCTTCATCGGTCTTATTACTGGTTTAGTGGGACAAAGGAGTGCGTCGGCCGGGAATCGGACGCAGGACTACATGTGTGGTTGACGAGCATTCTACCGTCGAGCCACTGACGCACAAAAACTTTTGTTATTTTTCGGGAATTGTTGTATAGTAAACTGTGTGTAATCTTTCTATTTCTGTAACCCATCCCTACTTCTTTGTTCTCCTGTTTCCTGTCACTTATTTCCAAATGACAATTCATCACCTAAGTGATTAGTTATCAACTTTCTCGACTACGTAAGAACACTATTTTTCGCACATAGTTATTTCTCAGACACTTTGATTGATTTTTTGTTACAAACTGACTATAACCTTCTGATCTTTATTGATTATTACTTAAGATTGTATGTATAAACCCTCTAAATAAATGTACATTGAAGTTAACAAAATAGATCTCTTCGCTAACCTATATGTACTTAAAGAAAGCAAAGTGTCACTTGCATTCTTTTCTGGTATAATATTAGTAAAAACGCCCAAAATTAGGAGGAATTATTACACAGTCATGACATAAAACAAATGCCTGCAAGTTAATCTCACATTTCAGTATTCTACCTACCTCGAAGAGCTTGAGAAGCATCAGTCATCTGAACCAGAGCTGTGCTTCGTTTGTTGTGTATAATTTTTACGCGTTGCACATCGCCATAAACACCTTGATATAAGTTCGTAGGGTGATGATAATAACAGAACAAGGAAGACAAAAAGATATAGTGTTCAGTTAAATTTGTAAGGCTATAAATGTGCATAATGAGTATTTTAGGAACATTTACGAATCACCAAATGCAGCTCAATAGTATATTCTATTTACAAAGTTTCATCAGAAATATAGCAGACATGTTTCATACAATGAATTTCCAGCTTTCTTCGTTAATAATAATAACACTGCGAGTGAGAACTTTACGCTCCAAATTCCGAGTTATGTAAATTACAATAAGTCAAAGATAATAAAAAAAAGGATAAAGTATAATTAACAGAACAAAATGTTCGGATTTAAACATTCCACGAATATCATATCAGTAAAACGTCTAATGTTACAAGCATACTCGTTTACCCATATCACCATCGCCTTACACCCCTACTACTACCAGTACTTTTCTTCAGGCTAGTGAGTCCTCTTCACTTCTCTCTGTGACCAGAAACAACGATGAGAGCCATACAAATACCCCCCTCGAAAACCTCTTAAGGCCACGTCGCCAACTTCGCATAGGAGCATTCAACGTTGGGACCTTTTGTCAAATCAAACAATAGGTAGCACTAGCAAGAAATATGGCATCTCGAGTCATGGATATATGTTGTGTTTTGGAGACACACATACAAGACCCGAGGGTGGTCATTCACTTAACGTCAACCCGGTCAACAGTGAATCAGCGAAATTCATCTTAAGAGTGTGCCCTCAGCTAGTTCGCGAGGACTCGAAGATGTAGGGATAGCATTGAGTGACAGGGCAGAATAAATCACTTCTTGACTGGATGACAGTAGATAGTCGTATGTGTGAGGTTCCTCTGAACGTGTCCGTTGAAAGGAGGGACGGTGTTACCCGTCGTTGTCTTTCCATAGTCTCCACCTACGCCCCAATAGACTGCATTTCGGATGAACTAAAGGATGATTACTACCTGAAACTGTCTAATTTGCTGCTGTCTGTCTGTCTCTGAGAAAAATGGCACCATAATAGATAGTCTTGTGCTGTCTGCGTTAACCAAGGTATCAGACGGCGTCTGCGAATCAAAGGAAGTCCCGTCCCGTTAGTGTAAGTAATTGATTATCCCGATTTTAGGGTGGCCTGCTTAGAACTTGGGCTACCAACATTTTCTGTCACTTATATTGCATCTGATTAGCTGGATTTATTTTGTTTTAATTATTCAATTGTGTCCAAATTGTGTCACTTCCTCTCACGACTATTTAAAACGTTTTCAACCTGATGATTTACGAGTATATAATAACCTTAAGGAAAAGCATCATGATGGGTGGCAAAGATCCTTAAGGTGTATTCTAATGCATCAGATGACTATTTCTGTGATTATGAGCACAAATTGCATGTCATTATCGAACAAGATTAATTACTTGGATGCACTATTATGTTCAAATATTTACCGTAATACAAGTGTAATAACGTTTCAAGAAACTTGGCTGCACGATTCATCTGATGGCAATCTAATCTTACTGAATGATTTCAATATATATAGACAAGACCGAAGTAGTTCAAGGAAGAAGCGAGGTGGTGGTGTTGCTACTTCTATCAATTTTCAGTGGTCTGTCGATATAAGAATAAAACTTGTGCACTGCGGTAGTGTAATTCCATTATGGGTAAATTTTGTTTTGACAAAGTCTCACAGTGTTATACCGTTATGTTTACTGATGACAACATTTCGAGCACAATTTATTGTTCATAATCATATCAAGGTAATCACACGACTTCCTAAATTCATTTATATAGTTCCATTGTTTTTCACTTGATGTGATTGGTAATAGTATTTTCCATATTTCAGGTATGAGTGACGAGTCATTCTTATTGCATGTGTTGGGTGTAGACTCGATGAACAAGGATTCAGTAATCAACCTCTCTCTCCACCTACCTAGATTACTTTTTAGAATTTTAACCCTCTCCCACCCTATTGTGTGGTTGTGTGTTAATGCATGCATTGCAATTGCTGAGCTTTTTTCTAAATTGTGGTCTGTTGGCAACAACGTCTGTTTAAAATTCTCAAATAATAGACTGTATAACTGTCAAATGTCGACCTAAACACCTATCTAAATACAAATTCATTTATATCACACCTTGCTGTAGCACTTCAGAACTGTCTATGTTTGCTGATGAATTCACTATTTTCGCCGCCTCCTCTTTTGGAAACTTTTCACACCTCTCCTAGAAAACTGTACATGTATGTTACTCTTTGGAGAATGTTCAGAATCTTAGGGGCATGCTTAGAGACACAAGGTGGGACCTGTTTAATGAAGACTCTCTTGATGACACAATCTCTAATATTACAAGTTATCTCAAATTTTATCTTGACACCTGTTGTCCCAGAGAAACGCTCTTCATCAGATTTGACCGTTTCTCCTCCCCTCAACTTAAAAAGCTTCGCAGACAGAAAGAAAAGCTATATAAAATGAAGGACAATACTGGTTTGAAAAGAATTAACATCCTAATAAAGTCTGAAATGCATAGATTAAACTCAATTTACAAAAGTTTATATCCTGTTAAAATGCGTCTGATATATGGAAACTTTTTAAAGAAATTACTGATGGTGATCAGATGAATAGTAGTCCTTATTCCTTTGATGTTTGCACACTCAACAAGTCTTTCATACATTCTCCCACAAATGTCAAACTTTCTAGTGTTACAAGTGTGTGATGAAACGTGCTTCCCTGGTTTCAATACAAATGATGTTCATAAATGTCTCCAGTCTCTGCACCCTTCTTGTAGCCTAGGTCCAGATGGTTTACCTAGTGTTATTCTTAAAATGTGTGCAGATATCCTGTGTTATGCTCTCATGGACATATTTAATGAATCTTTTTCCAGAAATGTCGTGCCAGCCGTTTGGAAGAACATTAAAATTGTACCTATACCTAAGTCGTCTACTGGAACATGTTTTAAATTTAAACCTATTGCTATTTCGTCTCCTTTTCTAAAAACTATGGGAAAGTTACTCTTAATTAATCTCCAACATGCACTTAAAGCCTTCAATGATCCAAAACAATTCGCCTACAAACACAGTAGAAGTACTTTAGATGCAGCTGCAGTCTTGCACCATAACATTGTCTCCAGCTTAGACAAGGGGGCTAAATTTATTCTCTGCACCTTCCTAGGTTACACATCTGCCTTCGACTCATTAACTAGGGGCATTTTGTTGAACAAGCTTGCTGAAACTCAAACTGACTGTTAGGTTGTCAAATGGTTGCATTCTTATTTCTTAGGAAGAAAAGCAGTACACTGTATGTAATGGAAAGTCATCCACTCCATCGTTTGCTGAGGCTGGCGTCCCTCAAGGCGCTGTCCTTTCTCCTTTTCTGTTTTCTTTCTTTTGGCACGATTTGCCTCACACTGATGAAATGAACATTGTTAAATATGCGGACGATCTAACTATTTCAATGTCTGTTAACTCCCAGCTAGACTGTACTAAGATGAACAGCTTTCTATCAGGAGTTAGCAAGTGGTCTTCGTCTAATGGCCTTAAACTCAATCCTTCCAAATGCTGGACTTAATTTCAGTTCCCGATGTAAACGAAAGTTAAATGAAGCTCTTGGTTCCTATGACCCTTGCAAAATTGATGTCACTGATATTGAAATCAAGTCTGAAGTTGAGTATCTTGGATTAATTCTTTCTTCTGACCTATCCTGGTCTTCCCATGTCTTAGCGATTTCTAAAAGAATATTTCGTCTGACTTTTTACATTAAGAAGTTGAGGCACTCAGGGATAACCCAACCCCTCCTCTTACAGTTTGTCAACTCGTGTATTTTACCTATTCTTCTTTATTGTTCACTTACTCTTTCCCGGATTGCTTAAAAAAGACTATGTCCTACTTCGTAGAACTCTGAAAACTGTCAGTAGTCCATGTGGTATCCTATTGGGCCATATCATTGACATTGTCATTGATACGCATCTGATGTCATGTCACAAATTTGCTAAAGGAATTTCGTCAGACTGTGAGCGTCCACTCTACCCGCATCTCCAAGCCTGTGTCTCCTCAGGTAAAACAAGTTATATATATATATATATATATATATAAACTCAATTGATTCTCTACACTCATCTTCTTGCCTACTTTTGTGTGCTACTTGGAACGTGGTAACTCGAACTGTTGCACTTCGGTGCCAAGTTCTATGTTGAATCCAGACAGAGACAGACAGATGCTTAGCTGTAGAAGGGAATATCGGGGAAATACACTGCACTGATCAAGACACTCACTGCACTCGAACTCGTGCAGTCAGTCAGGTGAGAGCTTACGGGGAGTTGTCATCTGAAGTGATGACAACGAGTGGTGTCCGTTAATGATGCCCACTGTCCCTATTTCTATTCAATTTCATCATAGATGTACTAATGGATTTAACCCTAGCTAACTTCAGAGACTCAGCGATTAACTTGTTACCGTGAGGAAATAATCTCGTTGACTTAGAATATGCAGACGATATAGTCCTTGTAGGTCAAGATGCTGACAAAATGTAGAATCTTCTGAACACCTTTTCGAATGTTTGGCATGCCACTGACTCCCATCAAATGTTAGAAATTGCTACAGGACTAGACTACATTGACTCTTAGATGAAAGATAGAAAAGAGTGAAGCGGTTGCTGAGCGTGTTGACGAATTCATTTGTGTGGAGTTGCATCAGGCAGTCCCAGAAGGTTGTTCGCCGAGAAAATCTTAGCATAATATAGAAGGCTTGTTTGGCATATGCCAGTTTACGCCATTTCTGGCTGTTGACCGAAGGATGTGTGCACTGCTCAATAGTTGACTCTGACCTTCTTTATACCTGTGAGTGAAGCGTTGCCATTGAAAGTGGAAGACATGAAAAAGCTAGTTGACTTGTGATCATGTGTGTCCGTTCTATCTCCCGTTTAAAGTGGTATAATAGATTAATGAGCAACATTGAGATGAGACATCAGTAGAGCGTTAGGTAAGGAGGGAGAGGAAATCAATCGACGAGGTTGTGAAGCTACACCGATTGAGATGTTTAGGTAATGTGTTACCGCATGCATTCTAGCCATCCATCGCCTTCGTCGACCGGAAATGTTAGTTAACATAAAATCAAGTTGGAAACATCTAGTGGTGGTTCAAACAAAACATGGGTTCAACAGTCAGTCAAATCCATAAAAGTTAATTTAAACCAGCAAGCCACATAGGGACGTGTAGACGTTTTAGCTTGTTGAGGTCCTCAGGATGCTAAGAAGCAATAAAGGCTGGAGGCAACTGGTGATATGGCTCAAAATTAATCTCAATGGTGTGGATGTATGCACTTTTTGTGATTTATAATATCTGGTAAATTTCTATCGTTCTTCCATATCACTATTCGTTTTCCTTCATATCTTTGTTAATTATCTCTGCTTTGAAGCTCTTTTTACTGTTTTCTGTTGCTTTTTGTGCCACATTGAGTGAGTGTGGCAACTCGAACTGGTGCATATTGATGCAAAGTTCTACGTTGAAACCAGTCAGTCAGGTTTGTTCCCAGAGTTCCTTGTGTCTAATCCTTTTCTGGTCATGGAGAGAGCAAAGACAGTTGTTGATAAGAGTTTGCAAGCTACTGGAAATAGTCTTCATGATACGCGTGAACCATATGGAATAACCAACTAGACATTATCAGAATGCTGTTCTTTATGTTTAGTGCTTAGATATAAACTACCCAGTAATGGATTATAAGCACACTTATAGTGTGGGGGCTAATGGTTCTACTCTAACCATCTAATATCATATTATTCCGTTGCCCAGGCTGGAGTAGGTAGTAGAGAAGGGCTAGAATCCAGAAGTCATTCACTACAAGTCGAGCGGTTAAGCCAATGCGCCTTATCTCCACTGATTAATGCTGTAGATTTCCACGCTGATTCAGAAGTAATGAAACTTATAGTTGCTGATATCTTTTATTCTAATACACTATTTGATTTATTCGGGGGTTTAAGTTAGTCATTTTTACAGGCGCAAACATCATTGCTATCATCAACAGACAATTTTGTTACACAATATATATGTAGTGTTTGCTGACAGTGTGTAATTGAAAAGGTTACCACATACCACAAAGTGAATCGATCGTATGCTGAAAATCTTTATTACTTGTGAGTGTGACCAAGTATACAAAAAATAGAATTCACAATGTGTTGACTGTTAACTGAAATTAATCAACATTTTTCGATTAAAATTAAAGACCTGAGGAAGGTCTAGGCGAACACACATGGAGTAGGATAATCTTACCAAATAGTATGAACAACGTATCCGGATTGACTTTCTTTGTTATAGGATTAACAATACAGATGATAATGCACCAAAACCCAAATGACAAGTTTTGTAGGATAGCCCAAAGAGGATCAATATTAAATGAGGTACACATAAAGGTATAAGGAAAGAGAGAGAGAGAGACAGACAAGATAGATAGGTAGCAGTTATACATATACACATATATGCATACAGAGAGAAAGTTTGTGAAAGTAAAGGGAGGTTTTATGACTGAGAGTAAACACTACTGGCTCATAGATGATTATAAATTGTGCTTAAGTGCTTAAGTCACTAGAGTTTACTGCCAATAACTCAGTCCGTGCTAGTTAAAGTTTCAGTACTACTCAGCAATGAAAAACGCCTAACTGCTTCAGACTAATCGAGCGCATGTATTCATAAAACAGTTCAAGATGGCGTAAGTGTATCATCGAATTTAAAAAGTACAGCGAAACAGACGTTTAATGTACCCTTGACTTCAATGGCTAGAAAATCACTATATGATACATCTCAGAGCCAAATGCAGTTGCACGGATGCTTGCATGTTAAGTGAATACAAAGTTTCTGTTTTGATGATTTTTTTCCTTACTTTGTCTAAAGGTATTCTACAACTCATGATTAAACAGTTTTTACTTATTATTTGTTGTTACTTATATTCCTTCTAATGAATGTCCGCTAATGAGATGTGTCAATAAGCAAAATTATGTTCAGCTTGTGCTGGAAATATCTGTTGGTTCGCACCTCTGTTTAACATTTAACATAAAGCGGTTTTATAGTCTTTTCTATCAACTAAAATTCTGATGATAATCAGATGTCCCACGGACATTAATACACGGATATCTTAACACATACAGAGTATATAACTAAAAACCTTTCTATAGTAGTAATATCAGAATGTGAGCTTATGGAAAATGACTAGTATAAATGTTAAAGGGCCGTTTAAAGCCAGTCACTTAAAAACCTCAAGGGGAGAGGTAGACAGAACCACAATGTCACTAGACTACTAAAATGTAGTAAAATATGACTCTGAGTTTTCGTCCACGTAAGACCCACTAACACGTCTGATATCTGAAAATATAAACAGTGTGATAAATTATATTTTAAAAAAAGCTATAAAAGGGATTTTCAAGTATTCGTTTGCAGTGATTTGATTAGTTTCAAGTTAAATTATGAACTGACAACAGTTAAAGGGGCAAGGAAATGGATTTTTTTTTTAAAACTTCATATCACATCCACAGCCTAAACTCTATCAACTATTATATATATGTCCAAACCAAGTTCACTTTTAACAGTTTGAAAAAATTTGGGCATTGGGTATATGATATTCATTATAATGAAGGTTTTTTTGTATTTCCCAATGCATGAAAAACAAAACGATATTGCTGTTTTTACCGACATTTCGCTATTTATTGCTAATAGCTTTCTCAAAGTATTATTAAACCGGAATTTACAAAATCTCAGCTTATGTATAACAAAGAGTTAAGAGGTGAGAAATAAACAATTCAAAGCAACCTTGTTCATATAAAAGACCAAATCACAAAAGATTCTCTATCTAATTGTGTCTATAAAATTAAATGCTTGGAATGTGATGCGATATACATCGGACAAACATCTCGAGAAATCAAAATCAGAAGAAAAGAACACCGTAGGGCATCTGCATGACTATCGAAAAATCCAGTTGTACTAGAAAAACTTCAAAAATCATCAGCCATAACCTGTCTACATGCTATGGAATCAGGCCACAAAATTGATTTTGACAATATTCAAATAATCCAGAAAAACTTCAGAAATCACAAAGAACGTATAATATCAGAAGCACTTCATATCAAGTGGAATCCGAATTGCCTGAATAGCAGTGATGGACTGAAACAGAATCTGACCTGGTTACACAACACCTCCCTCCCACATGAAGTGACAAAATCAACACAAATGTGATAAGCAAGTTCACTATGTAAACACAAACTACTTTCATAATTTTACACACTGATAAAATCCAACAATCTACACTTGATTTGTTATCTTTACCAATTCGCCAACTTGACAACCAAAAATGACCCCAGACTAACGAACGATGATCAAGTTAGTAAACTTCGTTTTGATATCACAACAGATGTACTATTACCTTTGATATTTAGTTTAGTGATTTTTATTGTTATTTTGACTTTCAATATGTCCTTTTAAGTTGAACTAAGTCTATTTCTCACCCCATAACTCTTTGTTATACATATATATACATATATATATGCTGAGATTTTGTAAACTCCGGTTTAATAATACTTTGATAAAGCTATTAGCATTAAATAGAGAAACGTCAGTAAAAACAGCAATATCGTTTTGTCTCTATCAACTTTTATATATGTAAAAAATTTGAGTGGGCTTCAGACAATAGTTACTGAAGTAATATAAACTCGTGATCATATAGCAGTGTAAAAGCAGAATATAAAGTGGTGTATCCAACGTTTTAAAGTCAAATTTAATTCGTGGCTTTATTATTTGTTTTTTCATGAGTCGAATAATACAAAAGGCGTAGTTTTCTCCACATAGAATAGCAAAGACTTGATGGAATGATGAAAACACGTTATCTTACCTCTTCGTTTAAATTGGATACAAAGACAACAGGTGAACCAACATATATACGTGATGCATTTTGAGTAACTTCCTGAGTAGATACATTAGGAATAATCGGCCAAGAAAAAGATTCACAATGACTTTGGTTTTCTGAAATCAAAGCAGATAGACCACCTAGTGCTGATGCCTGTGCTCTAAGCACATCAGCTTGTGGGCCAGATACTGATGCAGCAACTCTTACTATATAAAAAGAGATAAACAGAGTTATTAAGCAACGATCGTCTTTTGACACTGAAAAAAGTTGATAGTTTTTTCTTGGGGTGTGTGGGTTGGGGGGGGGGGTTTGTTGTAATTGGTTTGATTGATTTCAGTGTGTAATTGTTAACGAAGCAACACGAGCTGAAGAATTAGTAGACTTCCACGCATACTTGCATACTCAGGACCTGGAATGATTGCGACTACACACCTGTAAGTTGAAATCCGGCACACTTTATTTCAATTGTGTAAGGCACAAATCTTTACCTTAACTGTCAGCTTCCTACTGAACTACTAATGGTAATTGATTATTAGTCTCAACAGAATTTACAAATATTTGTATGTATTAAGGTTTTGTTATAGGTGACCAATTATACTTACATAAACAGAGTGAAAGGAGTTATAGCGATCTATCTGTTGTGTGTTGATAAAAGTAACGCAAAGCGTTTGCAAATATACGCATGACAACAAACGACTGTCATTTCGAACATTGGCTGTATATCTCGAGGCTATTTCATTATAAACCTTTACTATGCTTGTGATCATAAACAGGAGATTTACACATTCCTATAAATTAAGTTATTATATGATGTCAATAGATCATTTAAAAAGCAGTGGTCTTGACAGAGCAGAGATGCTGGTTTTTGCAAACAAAAGAGTATTTTATCCTCGCAGGGACTAATACAATCTAGTGTAGTAAAAATTTACCAAATTAGCAACACATAAAAGCGCTTTCAATAACCAATTAGACACTACTAGATTTCCAATGCTATAAAAAATCTTATGAAAAGTCCAGTTTAGACGTTTATCAACTCTAAAACAAAAATGGTAATACTAAAAAAGGGAAAATGACATACGTAAAGGTTTGATAAGTCTATTTGCCAAACTGGTTAGAGACGCCGGATCCATATTTGAAAGCTTTTCTTCACTGAGATCATTCAAATCAGGTTGGACAGAAGAAAGAATCGGCTGGAACTTTTTATTACCACTCATGATTGACGCTATTTCCTGTGATTCATCAATTTCATTCCACGGGTTACGAGTAAAATCTCTGCTGCTACTGTCTTCCCGGTGGACTTCTAAAGTGGGTTGCCTTGAGAATTCAGTACGCAGTATACAAAAATTTCCTTCCGCGGGGAATAAAGGTACACCATTCATTTGCTAATATTGTATACAAGAAGACAATAATTAGAGCGATAAATGTCTGGACTTTGAAAAATCAAACTGCTGCAAATACACCTCAAATTATTATTTCTTCGAAACAAATTACATAAAACATTTGATGAAGATGAAAAACATTTTTTAGATTCTATGATTAACTTTGTCATCAGGTCACACACGACTTCAAAATCACTTTACATGAACATTTAAGGGTTCAGTGCAAAAAAAATTAAACTGGTGAAAGTTTCAAGTATTTATAGTCGGAAACGTCACTGATCTTAAAGGCCTTGATGTGGAACATGAAAAAAGATACAATTTACAAACAACAAGCAAAATCAATAATTTTTTATTATAGTTCTCGTCCTCATGTCAAAAAAAACACTCCAATTCAACACGAGAATATCGCGAATATTCTGAACATTAACATATATAGGTAAAATTTTGCACAAAAAGGAGAATAGCATAATAGTAAATGGATACAGTGATTAGGAGCTTGTAATTCGATTTTTTTGTAGAAACAGCAGACTCTATGCACAAAAGTCTTAGCAATTTATCGGTTTAATCGCGACACAATTCATTAGAAATGTCAATACCTTCATTAGAGTGGGTCAGTACCTCAAATCTTTATTTCTTAAAATTTCATTGAATTGCTTTCTGTGCATAGCTCTGTTTGAAAATGTCTTGTTGTTAGTGAGCACATAACTGATAATAATAATAAAGCATTCTAAGTTATTCATCGCATCCCAGTTTGTCTTCAACATACAGCTAAGGGCGCCAGAATCCGCCTAAAAAAGTCAAGCTTGTGTGTTCAAAAGAAATTCGTGCAGCCAACTTCTTTACCTTTGTCATGAATTATATAAAAGCAAAAGACATACAATTTCCCTCCACCCCATAAGCCTTTTACAGTTTCATTTATCCAGTGAATCATTTTGTTTAGCACACCAAATAGACAAAAGAATAGAATTAAAATCCACTACACGATCAAAGTCCGAAACCTGTACTCAAAGACTTACTGCAATAAAACTGTAATGACTAAGATCTGAAATAATCAGGAGATAAAAAATATCTAAATAATCATAAATATGCTTTTCACGGGATAAAAGCATTAACATATACACACTGCTTACCAGTTTTGCTACATGTGCTGATATAGAATTACTGAATTCTAAGAACGCATGACGAGATTCATTTTTCCTGAATGAAACCACACGCAGTATTCGCCCAAAAGGTCTGAACGCCTACAAGTTTTTAAATGTTCGTTTAGAAAATTAAAATAAATGATAAGCCTATTAGATAAAAATCTGTTCGAAAAAATGAAAACTGAACTTTACGTTTAAAAGTGTGAGCACCTGGTAGTAATAAACCCGTATAAACGCAAAAACCACAAAAATGTAGAATTAGAAAGCAAAACAAATACTACGCTGAAAATATTCACTAGTGCACCAATATGTTTGGTGACATAATACATGAAAGCACATTATATTAAAGATGTGCTCACCACTGGATAAGAAGGTTGTCGGTGCGCACTACTGAAAGGTCCTAAACAATGGAGAAACAGCTATCCAGTACTCCCTGGTTTACGTAGTTTCTCCAACTGTGGTGAGTTCGTAATCAAAATTGAAATCATTGGTAAATTCAATAACAGGTATGAAAATAATCTTAGTCAACAAGCACCTCAGAGGAATAACTTAATGCTTAGAGATGGAAATCCTAGTCTTGGTAAGAAATTGGTCAAGCTGAGTGTGTCAACAAACATCAATAACAGTAGATTGCTGTAGCGCCACATAACGACGGGTGATAGGAACTAGGAATCACAGACCACTTCGATCCAATCCCATGGTTGGATGGCAGCATATTTATACACTGCGGAGATTAGTTAAGAACTCAACTCCTAACGTCATGTTTAAATTCGCATTATTAAAGAGTCCTGAAGTTGGACAGAATAGCCTTCTAGAGTTTGTTGACTTTCACTGGATCTTCCCAGCTACTGTCACTTCGCGACTACATCAACCAAATTCCTGTCAACTAATTTTACATCAATAAAAACAAAACTTTATTAAAACATTTCAAAAAATAAATCAATAAAAGTAAACATACGAGGAAAAATGGTAAGTATCCGATCTCTGAAGATGGAAGTAATCTTTCCACATGAATGTGCAACACCGTTTTAGCAGATTCTTCGTTTTCAATACGGAACGCTGCAAACTGTTTATTCGCTTCTTGAATGGCAGATACAACTGCATTATTATTATTATTATTGGAATTAGTAAGAGAGGAATATTTGCTAAACTGAATTTCTACAGGATATCTGCCCCGTAATTTTGGCGGGCAAACAGTTGTATAATAACTAAACATAGATTCAGCCGATTCCAAAGTGTCCATTTCAATGAGGGCCTGTAATATGGAATGTTATTTACAGAAAAAAAATCTAATGACTAGTGAAACTAACACATATTACATATGCAAAAATATTCCATTTTGACTCCATTTCCTGATGCTATTACATATAATGACAAAAATATTTTGGGTTTCTAAGGAGAACTGTGGTAAAATTTCAACTCCACCTACTTTGTAAACGATGCATTTTATTTTATTCTGTTTTCTACTTCTAATTTGAAATGATCATAGGGGGGAATCAGAATTTATGGCTCTGCCCCTCTCTTATCGTTTTAATAAAAACGATGCTCTTTTTTGAATCATTAGTTATGTCAACAACTGAACTCAAAAATGTTATTCTTTGAAAACGTTTTACTTTACTAAAAATGTAGCTTTAGGTAACTTCATAAATGTTGCATCTTATTTTGTTGCCATAACATGCCTTTTAAAGTAAAGAACTTATATAGAAATGTTCAATCAAGATAATTGTTTATTTAGAAGTGACGTTTCCTTCCCGCTCAAATAATGATATCCTACCAGTGATAAGCACTGAATTCAGGATACTTGACTTATCGGCTTAAACTTTTGATCTTCAATACAGTGGGTGCCGTGTTCGAATCCCACCCTGCTCATTTCAACCACAAGTATCACTATCCCTCACAAACTTATGGCTTATAGCCTGGAACATGAAAGGCCTGTTGCGGAAACAAAAAAGCAGCAAGCAACTAGTCACAATGATTGTATAAGATTTTTAAAAAATAAAAGCAAGTGCAGAAATCTGTGTAACACAGCACTATATCAAAAAATATTACTATGCAGGAAAGGACACTTGGTTTTATCCCTGGGAAGTACTTTTAAAAGTATACTAATTGGTGAGCATGATGAACAAAAGGTAATCAGCTAGGAATTATATTTTCATTCCCTTGCTTTCTCACATACTTTAAATTAATACAATCAATAGGAACTAATGTAAATTATGCACAAAATTCGTTCCTAAAAAGATTATGTAACTAAACAAAACCCCTTATTATACATTTCTTTCAATTGGTATTGTGTAAATAACTTCTCTGTACGTTAACCTTTCGGATTTTCTAACAAGCACCTTTGATTCACCTTCCAATAAGGATTTCCATTTAGTTTATCGCGTGAGACAAATTTCTCATGCATCAGGTTATTAACTACAGTTTTTGTGGGAGAGCTGACGATACTAACAAGTCTACAGGATATGGAGAGGGATTTAAGCGCTGGAATCGTCGACTTTTGTGCTAAATAGTTACGTGCGTACAACGTGAGTTGGTTGTCTTAAACTTGATGTCACAACTTAGCAAATGCCAACTGCTGAAGTCACCCGGAATAAGAAGAGCTGTCCAATACTTATTGCTTTCTAAGTTCTTTAGCTTATATGGGTGCTTTACGAAAACTAACCCACCTTTTCATAATATATGTGAAATAAGAGAACTCTTAGGAAGAATATAACTGGTTATAGAACACTGGATTTTTGATTATCATCTTAAGTGAGAAGGAATAAAGATGTAAGATATGAACATACGAAAAAGCACCAAACTAATAATTCCTGTAACATACCTGACAGGTTTTTTTGGTTACTATCATATTAGCGATTGAACCAAATGGAATGGCTAAAGTGGAAACTTCATGTTCCGTTGTATCTGGTGGTAAACCACGAACATGAAGAACACACGATTCGGGTAAAGAATTTGATGTTAAACTGTCTAATCGTGCCTGAAATACAACATTGATAATAAATAACTGCATCCAACACAAAGAAACTATGTGAGAATACAGAAATGCATCATACACGCAATGTAGTGATTAATTTATTTTAGTTTTGCAAAAACAATGTTAACCACGATAAAATTGTACACCAGAATAATGAAGCAATCCAAACAGTCAGCATTCGCCTTCCTTTTTATTGATGATCACTGTTGTCACATCAGGCACCCCGCACATTACCTAGTACCGTAGTTAACCTGGACAACAGTTTGTCGTCGCAGTCCTTAAACACTTCTGGAGTCCCCATCAGGTCTTGCTGCTTTGCCTCGCTTTAGATTGGATACATCTTTTGTAACCTCAGTTACAAATTGTGGACCAACGTCTACATCCCACTCAGAAAGGTGCTGGATGGTAGGTTAGTTGAGCGTGACCATAGACCGGCTTAATCACTCCCCGAAATATCCATTCTAACGTTCCGGTCATCTATCCTCAGAGTTAATTAAGGCATCACTTTTCTCACAGATTGTCTCAATTATCATTTGCCTCTTTCAACCTGTTCCTCTAATAAATCTATATGATTGTTTGATGTTCCCCGTCGCCAATACCTTTTCTATCTCTTTCACTCACGATTATTTGAGGTCTCTAGGGAGATTTGGTAATTTCGCAGCTTTTGCTCATAACATTATACGGAGACCACCTAGAGTTTCTAACCTTTGGTTTTAGGTTATCAACAGTCGTTACCACTGTTTCTACAACTGAATGCATAATTTACCGGGCTTCCTTAGGATGAGTTCGCCCATTTCTTCATTAAACGGGGACTGTGTCCTCATCAAGCTGGCTTTTTACATTGAAATATAATAAGGAACACCTCTAAATTCATGAGAAAGCCTACGCCTAAGTCAAAATAACATTAGCCACGAGTTCTTTACTAAGAATATAATCATCAAAAGTAGGTGACTTACCTTTTTCGACTCCAAGTGATTGACGTCGCTTATGGTTGGAACTTCAGTAAGGACTCTCTGTAAAGAAATAAAAGAACAGTGCGGTGAACTACATGAGTATCTGCAACGAATAAGCAATCCTGACACGAACCAATCATATGCTGACATCCACAAATGGAAATGTAGCTAGCTGCTGAGGCACATAATCATATATGAAGATTTAACATAACGACTTATGAGTAATTAGTCGATATTAAATTTCCTTTTCGAATTTTGTGACCTTTATCAAGATGAAGTGTCAATTTTTGGCGCTTTAAAGCTATGCAACAGTAATCTGATAAACTAGTCATTAGCTAGTCTCCTATTGAGTCTAATGATACTACTTCGCAGTTAGGACTTCCCTAGGATGAGCTAGATTTAGCAGTAGAAAAATTAGTGCTTGATTCAACGACCCATAGCCTCAAATACGACAGCTGATTTTAAAACGGAGATCCTTGAAACGCCTGAATCTTGCAACAGCTGAAGACGAACAGAAAGACAATATGAAATCAGTGTAAAACGAGAGATCTATAATCTCACTCTGACTACCTTGCCATATGTTGGAAATAAATGTGATAACAGTAAATCCAGATGATTCGATGTATTCAAAGAGTAGGTAAGCTGATTTCCATAGGAAGTCCCATTTTCGGTTAAGTGCTGAAGGTGCTTATTCACAAAGTCTACACTAGAAATTGCGTTATGATTGGTATAAAACGGGAAAATCACTGCAGGATCTGCAAGGAGACGTGTATTTTCTGGACACGTTTGAAGAAAAGGAGTGATCATTGAAAAACTCCGAGTAAGCAATAAAATGAGAGGAAGAATGTTTACTGTAACACGACATCTCATTCACTTATCTCTGATTGGTCAATATACTATATATAATTCTCCGAACGAACAGTTATTTGCAAAGTACGAATACGGCTCTTGCCAGACTACTCAGACAATCATCCTATCAAAATGCTTTACTGAAGTGAAACTAAAACAGTTTACTGGTAAACAACATTGGATAAGAATAATCTGTTGTTTTTTCTAAACCAATAGACTATCCAGCTTTTGGTGGCAGAGACTCATCTCTAAAAGGCAATTGAAAATTCATTATAATAAAGGTTTTTTTTGTATTTCCCAATGAATGAAAAACTCTATCGAAGCATAAATGTAACTTTTATAATCATCGTATTTTCAATTTACGCTGTCTACAAAGTGGAATTATTCCCAAATCACTACGTGTTAAACCTCCTGAATATTCACACAAATCCATACTTGCTGCAAATCATACCTCCAAAGTATTTTTACGAGAACGAATACATATATGCAACATCAAACTTGAATCTTATCGAATGAGAATCAAAAATATAGATGACTGCTTAACATTACTTGTTACAAATCATATCTATGAATCCTTTCAAAAATTGTTCAATGAACGAGAATCTCATTTTCATAATGTCACTAAAAGAAGACATATACAAAAATTCTCGAAACTCAAAGAAAAGAAACAACCAAAGAAAACCTCAACAAATGATATGAAGAATATTAGAGCCATACATAACATGTCAGACAAGATACTAACCGAAAATGAAATCTCATTACTACAGAAAGGTTTGAATTTCAATATAACTAGAAAGCCATTATCGGTCCAGGAAATAGCACCTATGATTGAACCTGCTCTACAACAACTCACCAATGAAGAATCACAATCTGCTCGTCAAAAGATATCACACATATTAATGACACAACGAAACATACCATCTAATCTCACCAAACAAGAATATGAAGCCTTAAGAAATTTGAAGAAGACAAAAGCATCGTCATAACGAAAGCCGACAAGGGGAACGTCACTGTGATAATGAACAGAACGGATTATGAAAAGAAAGCGATTGAACACCTATCTGAAGGACCATACTTACTCATTGAAGAGAAGAAGAAATCCGCCGAATTCAACAAAATGAAACTAAATACAAACAGACTACTTCAAGAAATGAAACCCAAAATTGGAAATTCGCTCTGGTTTACACTAAAACCAAAATCTTATATACCTTCAAGATTCTACGGTCAACCAAAGATACATAAACCCACAGTTCCATTAAGACCAGTAATAGATTTCACCAACTCACCAACATACAACCTTTCTAAATACTTACTCTCGATACTACAACCACTACAAAAGGACACTCAAAATATTGTAAAAAATTCATATGATTTCAAATCCCAAATAGAACACCGAGAAATTGATAAAGAAGACATTATGGTAAGCTATGATATTAACTCACTATATACTAGCATCCCTATTACCGAAAGTCTTGATATCATTTCCAGTCTACTAGAATCAGATACAACACTATCACAAAGATGTCCACTGGACACCAGTGAAATAATTAAGAGCTTAAAATTCTGTCTGGAAAGTAATTATTTTACATTTAAAGGGAGTTTATATAGACAGACAAATGGTGTTGCTATGGGTTCACCAGTCTCCCCAATAGTCGCCGATCTTTACATGAATAAATTCGAAAATAATATCTTTTCAAGCATACTCACTCCTAAAATATGGTTAAGATATGTGGATGATACTTTTGTAGTACTAAAACGAGATCTACACAATTCATTCCTGGAGAAAATAAACTGTGTATCTCCCAAAATCCAGTTCACTTCGGAAGCAGAATCAGACATCGGTGAACTTCCATTTCTAGACTGCCTAGTTAAGAGAAAGGAAAACGGACATTTTAGTATATCCATATTCAGGAAGAAAACCCACTCCAATAAATATTTAGACTTCAAATCATCACACCCCATCAGCGCAAAGATTTCAGTTGTTTCAAGTCTTCTTAGACGAGCACACTCTTGATAACGGATGAGCAAGTTTAAAAAGAAGAAATATCAAACATCACTGAAACTCTCAAGCAAAACAACTACCCAACGAACTTCATCAACAAAATCAACACAGACATTAAGTATGGCCGAAAATGCATTCCGAAAACATGGACTTCAACAGTCGTCATTCCATATAGAGCAGAGACGTCAGACGATATCAGAAGAGTACTCAATCAGCTCGACATTAGTTTTCTTCAAAACATCGGACACACTTCAAAACAACCTTGTCCATATAAAAGACCAAATCCCGAAAGATTCTCTATCTAATTGTGTCTATAAAATAAAATGCTCGGAATGTGATGCGATCTACATCGGACAAACATCTCGAGAAATCAAAATCAGAAGAAATGAACACCGTAGAGCTCTCGACCACAAAAATCCAGTTGAACTAGAAAAACTTCAAAAATCATCAGCCATAGGTCTACATGCTATAGAATCAGGCCACAAAATTGATTTTGACAATATTGAAATAATCCAGAAAAACTTCAGAAACCACAAAGAACGTCTAATATCAGAAGCACTTCATATCAAGTGGAATCCAAATTGCCTGAATAGGAATGATGGACTAAAACAGAATCTGACCTGGCTACAACACCTCCCTCCCACATGAAGTGACAAAATCAACACAAATGTGATAAGCAAGTTCACTATGTAAACACAAACTACTTTCATAATTTTACACACTGATAAAATCCAACAATCTACACTTGATTTGTTTATCTTTACCAATTCGCCAACTTGACAACCAAAAATTGATCCCAGACTGACGAACGATGATCAAGTATTTAACAATCTACACTTAGTTTTGTTATCTTTACAAATTCGCCAACTTGACAACCAAAAATGACCCCAGACTAACGAACGATGATCAAGTTAGTAAACTTCGTTTTGATATCACAACAGATGTACTATTACCTTTGATATTTAGTTTAGTGATTTTTATTGTTATTTTGACTTTCAATATGTCCTTTTAAGTTGAACTAAGTCTATTTCTCACCTCTTAACTCTTTGTGATACATATGCTGAGATTTTGTAAACTCCGGTTTAATAATACTTTGATAAAGCTATTAGCATTAAATAGCGAAACGTCAGTAAAAACAATATCGTTTTGTTTTTCATTAATTGGGAAATACAAAATAACCTTTATTATAATGAATTATTATGAATGTACCCAATGCCCAAATTTTTTCAAACCGTTAGAAGTGAACTTGGTTTGGACAAATATAAGGCAATTGAAAATACCTACAAAGTGATACATAATATTGTCCAACAGTCATTATATTTCTTGACCTAAAGGCAGCATTCGACTCTGTCGATCGAGAAGTTCTCCGGAGATGCTTGGCTGTAAAGAGAATTCCAAGAAAATATATTGCACTGATTAAGGCACTCTACTCGTACTCATACAGCCAGGTGAGGGCTTACGGCGAGCTGTCATCTGAACTGGTGACGACCAGTGGTGTCCGTCAAGGATGCCCATTGTCCCCTTTTCTATTCAACTTCATCATAGATGTGTTAATGGACTTAACCCTAAGTGACTTCAGGGATTGACTTGCTACCGGGAATAATCTCGTTGACTTGGAATATGCAGACGATATAGTCCTTCTAGGCGAAGACGCTGACGAAATGCAGAGTCTTCTAAACACCTTGAGCCGCAATCTACGAATGTTTGGCATGCGATTCGCTCCCGCCAAATGCAAGATGATGTTACAGGACTGGACTACATCGACGCCTAGTTTAAAAATAGGAAGTGAAGTGGTAGAGCACGTTGACCGCTTCACTTATTTGGGAAGTACCATCAGCCAGTGTCAACGGGCTGATCTCTGACGAAATCTCAGCACGAATACAAGGAGCTCGTTTCGCATTTTCCAGTTTACGCCGACTCTGGCGTAGACGAGATGTTCGACTACCGACCAAAGGGCGGGTGTACTGCTCAGAAGTCCGCTCCGTCCTCCTATATGACTGTGAGACCTGGCCACTGAGAGTGGAAGACATGAAAAGATTAGCTGTCTTTGATCATAGGTGCCTGCGTTCTCTCTCCCGTGTGAAGTGGCATAATAAGGTGAGCAACATTGAGGTTAGGCGTAGAGTTCTAGGTAAACAGGGGAAATCAATCGACGAAGTCGTGAAGCTACAAAGACTGAGATGGTTAGGACATGTGTTACGTATGCCAAGCCATCGCCTCCCTCGACGAGCAATGTTAGCGGATATAGGGTCAGGCTGGAAAAAAGCTAGCGGCGGTCAAACAAAAACTTGGCCCCACCAGTCAATGAAATCCACAACAGTTGGTCTAAGCCAGTCACGTAGGAAGGTGTAGACTTCCAGGCTGGGGTCCTCGGGACGGTAAAAATCTATGATTGGAAACAATTGGTGACATGGCTCAAAATCGTTCTCAATGCTCAGCGCAGATGCATCCACTCCTTGTGACTTATGATCTTCAGTGAAACTTTTGTATTTCTTTATTACTCCTTTGTCTCACACCTCTGCTCACTGTTTCTATTATGCTTTTCTTGTACTTTCTTCTCTTGCTTCGCGTGCTACACGGAATGTGGCGACTTGAACTTCCGCACATTTGTGCAAAGTTCTATGTCGAAAACAGACAGACAGACAGATCATCATGGAAATAGCAGAAGTAAGTGTTTTCTTCTTAACTGTCATTTATTTAAAAAGTGATATCGTCTTAAAAACAGTATTTCTCATGGATTGAGTCCTACGCATGGGCCTCAAAGCAAATCCTATTCCCCGATTTCACTAGGCTGTCAAACTAATCAGAAAGACAAGATAGTGTACGAGGTATAATGAGGTGTGGTAAACGACTACATTCGTATCTGCTGAGTCAGTGCCTTTATAACCTTCATACGGTCAAGCAACCAACTGGAATCAAACGTTAGAAAAGATGGCTTAGAATCCAAAACCACAAACACTGACACATTTTTGAAAGTATTTTGGATATATTTTGTGACTGCTTCGTTTATCCAGATCACTTTGCAAATATAATCCGCATAGTGAGGCATATTCAGCCTAAAATAATCGAAAAACTATAATTGTACTTGAGTCAGCAACTAAAGTTATGAGAGCTAAGGGATAGAGTATGTGAAGGCTCATAAGAGGTGCAGTTTCCTGAACGTCTCATGCACTTTAAATCCTACACCATAACCAGTTCGTGAGGGGTGACTAACCGACTTATCAACATACAAAGACAGCTTATCTCCATGTTTCACCTTCCACCGTTATTACTAGAAAGGAGGAATCGGACTAATGCATAGTGCACACATTGATTGACAACCAGAGGTGACGTAAGGTAGGAGCCTCCAAAGCCTCAGGATGGTCGGGGGTGGGTGCCTTGCGCTGCGGGTTGGCCACCCCTCCGCACACCTCTTGAAATGCTCCCATATGACCGGGCGTCTTACATAGCCTCTCCTGAGGAAGTCCTACTCACTGCCTTTACGTGGCGGAGGTGTTTCTCACCAAAGTGAGAGGGCGAAAGCGGATGCCTGGCGCTCTCCACCGGGTTGACTGTCCATTGGATGACAGTCTAGGGGAGATGGCTAAACCCTGATTCCAAACCTCCAACGATTGGCGTATGAAGCTCACTGGAGCTCACCGGCAGACGTATGGACAAAGGGCTTGTTGGATGTCCTGGATGTCTGGCCCCATTCAAAAAGGCGTATGAACCGAACTCCGGTCATCGGCTGCCAATGGATAGTGGACTCCTTACTCCACTCCTACTGCCTTGTAGGTCACGCTTGGTTGTGTAAAGGCTAGAGCTGCACTCTCAAACAAAAGGCCGAGCGATTCTGGGGAAATCACTCGTACCAAATTCCCATGAAACTTCATGAACTCTCTTACAAATTGCCGCGCCTGGGCAGCGATGATTCGAGACGTTCATGAAGCCGGCTCATCCTCCCGTAGGAGATAGCCGAAGTAAAGTAAGTAAGTAAGTAAGGTAGGAAGTGTCACACACCTTACAGTTGGTATGAGTGAATCACATGCCAAACATTAAGATTTCTGTTCAACGCGTTGGGAAGACTGCACCTCAACAGCGTCTTCACCTAGGAGGGTAATAATATTTGTGTAGTTGAGATTGAGAAAACTCCCCTAGTACCAAGTCAATCCCTAGGCCGTTCCGGTGGGTCACAGTTACTTCCATTAATTCACCCATGAAGATCTTAGGTATCGCTGACGGACACCACTTTTTTTATTTCATTCACGTTCCCAGTGGAACATAGGGCTTCAAGCTAGTGGCTTAAAGTTTCTGTAGCAGTGTTTAATTTTGCAGGATGAGGCTGCTGGCCTCATGCCCAACCTTTCCTCTTCATCAGTCTTATTACTGGTTTAGCAAGGTAAAGGAGTGTGTTTCCCCGAGATCGAACCCCGCAACATTTGCATGGTCGGCGAATGTCTTAACCGGTGTGCCACCGACGGACGCTACTGCTATACCTCTTTAATTTAACAAACCTATGCCTTCTTATATAAATCCCACTTTTCGTAGGCTTAATGGGTTGAAATCATGTTTTTTCTTAACCTAAAATATTTCCCCAGATTGAATGGTCAACCTGCTGAACTTCTGTCTGACCCTTCAGAAGAGACAGGACTAAGTATCCCTCGTTACCCAGTGTCAGGGAGCATCCTTTTAGCCCAGTGCTTAGAAGGTGGTCTTAAAAGCGCTAGATATTCACAATAAAACCGGATATCAACTTCAACAAACATCTAAGATAGTGTAAGTCGCGTCCCACAAGCAGCTAGACTTCTTTAAAAGGTATTATGGGCAATATGATGTCGCTACATTTCAGTACACAACTGGAGCTCATCTGGAGAACGTAAGTCTCCGGCACACCTTATAAAAATTTTCGAACCAATAAGACTGCATTCTTACAGTCTTAAATGTGTCTGCAAACTGCTGCATAAGTCAATCTTGGGGACTGGTTTAGTGTTCTGGATACGTATCACAGAGTGAAAGCATTCTTTCCTAGATAACGAGAACACCACTAACTGTTTATCATCACACCAATCCACGTAGTATCCATGATATTTCATTATGACCACATTCGGACAAAACCTGTAATGGCTGAATAAAAAAGGCCATTACTAGGAAATGGATGAATTCTGGTTATGTGACATAATTTCTCTTATACTGACAAAGAGTTAACTAATATTTTACAACTCCGATCTTCACTGAACTAATATTTCCCTACAATTCAACCAATAACTTTCTCTACTTTCCTACCATTATTTACGCGATAACTTCACGTCTTGACCATTATTTAGTAGGGATTCACACTTTACATCACCCTCCTCACCATCTGCACAAAGTTGTAACCATTTTAACGATAACCTAGCTAATCGCCGCCCATTATAGTCTGACTGACATGTCCAATAGATAAATATTTATTGAGAATCCGACAGAAATTCTACTGCACTACCTAGTCTGTCAGAAAAAATAAACTTAGTACCACTTTAAATACCTCAGTGTCCCAGCTAGCACAGACTTCAGGAGCAATACAGAACTCTGGGGCAGGCTGAAGATCGCTGTCCCACATTCTGTGATGCGTCTGAAAAAGGTTCATCCAATATCCTGATTACGAGCTAGTATAAACCAGTGATTTCTTTGAGCTCGCTTCTTGATTGTGAGGTAGAGGTTCCAGATCTTCGGTGAGCTTCTGCGTAGTAAGTCCCGCCACTCGACTGCTTTAGCTCTGGTAGACTCCAAGAGGAGTGGTGCGGGGATTGGTCAAGATGTGGTTTGTAGTATGCAGTAGGTTAGGACTGTATTGCTGCCGTGAATGGAGTTTGACCTAACTCCCGTCGGTCATTCGGTGTAGTCATAAAAGCAGAATAGTAATAATAATAATAATAGGTTGTAGTGTAGATAATATGGGTTGAGATAAGTGGAATAATGAAGGTGACCTAAGGAAAAGAGAGTGAGAGGCAGAACAGGTAGTGGGGATTTAGTTTGTACGCTTATCCATTGACAGTGTGGTTTTAGGTTTCATGAGGATAATCCATTGAGACACAAACCTTGCATTTCTGCATGACTGTCTAGCTTCCGCTTAAAAATCTCCAGGGATGGCGCTGTAGTCACGGCTGCCGGCAAAGCTTTCCAGAGACGGCAAACACGACGCGAAAAGAAATGTGATCGCACTTGAGTCTTTCGTCTCTGGTGTGCTATCCTTGGCGGGTTACCTCGTGGAAGCCTATAATCACTTAATGGCAGGATGCTTTTATTTGAGTGGGCCTGGTCATTTAAGATCTGGTAGACGGTGATGAGGTCTCTCCTGTGCCTACGGTAACTAAGTGTAAAAAGACCTCATTTCTTTAGCCGTTCCTCATATGATTTGTTGCGGAGGCCGATCACCGATCTTGTCGCTCGTCTCTGGACACTTTCTAAAATGTTAGCATCCCTTTTGAGTAGCGGAGGTGCAATGATATTATGCACCCCGAAGTGTGGCCTCACTAGAGCTTCGTAACACACAGGTCCGTTTACCTTTAGGAAGATTAATAAGCACACAAAATCTAATTGTTTACAGACTTCGATAATTCGAGCGCCTATCTAGTACAGCTAACCTGCTTCATCGATTCGTTCCGCCTCATTGGACAAACCTAAAGCGCCAATGTCTTCGAACTGATCGGTAAAACAACTTCGACCTTCAGCGTCTCACGTAACTACCGTCTAGTAAGGCAGTATATCCACATTTAAGGTCATAATAGTTTTCTGCATCAACTGGTTAAATGTTTTCATGAACTTTGTTGACCATTTCAATTTAAAGGTTTATTGGACGTTTTGCATATTTTAATTTTTCAAAGGCAATTTTTGTTACTGGATGTCACTATAAGCCTAATTTAAGTCTGAAGTTCCCAGTTATTAAGTTGATAGCTAACGATTGTGGTTAATGGGTTAATGCTGTCTGGAAATTTATTCCAATAACAGCGCGGTAATGCACCTGGGTCAGAGGTCTTGCACGTCGTACTACCTGGGGGAAACAGAACTGCCATATGTCAAGGGGCAAAAGGACTTAGGAATTATTGCATACCATGAAGTGAAAACAACGGTAAATTGTAATCGAGCTGCAGCTAAGGCTTTTTGAATGCTATGGGCACTTCGAGGGGCTTTCAAGCGATTAAACGAGTGTATGCTCGAAGTACTCTATGCAATATATGTCAGACCTCATCTGGAATACTGCATACAATTGCTTCAAAATGGAGGGAGAGTACAGAGAGTGGGAACCAAACCAGTTGGTGGTATCTCACACCTTTCTTATCATGAGAGGATGCATCATTTAAATAACTTCCCATAATCATACCGAAGGAGGAGAGGTGACTTAATTTTGGCTTACCGTATGTGAAAGGGTAATTCAGGGATTGACCTTTCAAACCGTTTCTCTCCCTCTAGGATACATTTACGAGGTCACTACAAGGAGGTGGTCTAGCCAAGGTCGAATAAGATACATGTTGAATTTAGATTCGCTCAGAGAGTGGTCAAAGAGTGGAATTCCTAACCTGATTCAGTTGTGAGAGCTCCATTGGTGAACGCCTTCAAGAAAACTAGATCTCCTCGGAGATATAAATAGTAGGGATTAACATGGGCAACAAGAGCCTTTTGCACTTAAAATCCGAACCTGAATCCGACCTCAAAAGATCTCTCGTTCTCGCAAGTATTTAAAAGCCCTGCATCCGGTGAGGGAAAAGGCTATCGCAATGTGATGCCGCGCATAGTATGGGGTAACGTGTTTATACCTAGAGAGGCACTATAAGCGCTTAATTTTGTGAAACCGGAGCATATTGATTAGATTTTGCCTTCTGCAGTCTAAAAGAGTGAAATTTTCTGGTAATATATTCATAATGATGCGTAAAGTATTATTTACTATCATTTGAACGAACGACTTCATTATTTTTAAATTCTGTGGTAAAAGTAGTAGATGATTAGGGTTCTTCCTCATATATCCTTAAAGGTTTTATACCTTCACTCTGACTAGTAATAACTTGTAAACTTGTTGTGTCAGAACTGGACTCTGAAACTGTAACTCTCTTCTTCTGAACAAACTGCGGTGTCATCTGTGACACTCTATTCAACAATGGCTTACCAGTTGCAACTACAGGCTTTTTGACCGCACCAATATCGTCACACGGTTCAGAATCAGACCTTGATGACGCTGACTTCACATTTAGCTTACCACTAAACTTGCTCACTGCTTCACAGTTCCCCTTTGTATGCACTTCTTGCAAAGAGATGAAACACGACAATGTTTGTCTTGCAGCTTGTAACCTATCTGTTGGGAACGTCCCACGAAAGCTGTCACACTCATTAGGTTTGTATGGATTACTAGACACCATGAAGCTTTCTCGGTATCCACTTCGCTGAGACCCTTTCGTCACAAATGATTGCGTTTTCCTCTATGGTTTCTCTATTGCAGGGGTGGGATGCAGTATACTAGCTAACATGCCCAAAGCTTGGTTGACACTGTCTTTTACCAGGCTCACAATATCATCCAAACCAGGCTCTAAACCCTCCTCTTCTAGACGGAACTGATCTTTATGAACTTTCTTTGCAGACGAACTGGTAATCTCTTGGCAACAGTCTCAAGCACGGAACTTGAGTTTAATTCGTCAACGCAATTAAGAGACGCAAAAGTACTTCTGTATACCACTAAAATGTTCAAGAACTCTGCGAGTTCCTCTGAATTATCGTGTAACTGTGATACATTAACTTTCACGGCCACAAAAATACTACGGGATATCATAAATGGTTTTCCAAACTTTCACGTAGTATCCTCATAGCCTCTGTATATCCTTCGTTTGGCGGCATGAACTTACAGCACTGTATAGCTCCTGCAGTAACCCCAGTGCAATACCTCAACAAATACATTGACTTCACTTCGTCATTTAAAATAAAACCACTCAACATGACCTCAAACTCCTTGATAAACTGTGAGCAGTCGGCTGGGATTCCATCAGAGTATCGACGTTCAAACTTAGAGGATCTTAAAACACTACGACCACTAAACGGCGGAGCGTGAACATCAGACTCATCATGCAGAGCATCATGCATATCATTACAATTCTTTTCCTGGAGTTCCTTATGGGGCAGTTTTATACATCTTTTCACTTCTGGAGCACCTTCTAGAACTCTTCCGGGCTTACTTACTGGATCTGCAGCAAGCGTCTCTTTGGACATGGATTATCAACGCAATTTATATCCTTTGGTGACGATGGACAATGCCTCGTTCAAAAAGGGACTTGGCATCATGGAAGCAGACAAAAAAGTAAGTAATGCTGAGTTGCATGTCAATTCTAATGATATTGTGGATGCTCAGCATGATGAGCCTGATGAGCACAGAGGGTGGCGCTAGCCGATCAGTAGATATGGTGGTGGTCACTAAGGTGAATCGCCCCATTCTGCAGGAACAGCAATATGCGATTTGACGGCTCGAGATTTTTCTGATTTTTATGAGGGTTTAGATCTTTATCTTGAAAAAGATAACAATGAACGCCTAGACAGATCATGCTTCTGCCTTTAAACATATACCATTCGCTCAGCCTACTGTTGAGGTGCGCCCACGTGGGCTCCGCACAGATTTATGGGTCATCTTATAAATTAACTCGCTACCCATTGTCGGATCTTTGAGTACCACTTCACAATGTCTCATCTCATTTATTTTCTAATGACGCCTTTACTTGATCCTCATTACATTCCTTTAAACCTAACACTTTATAGCTCTATATGAATTTGATTCGACTTGCTCTATTCCTATTCTCTGTAGGGTACGGTTGTGCACCAAATGCACAAAAAGGTATGAAATAAAAAGAAACGGCATGAGGATAAATGTATTAAAGCCAAAAGTGGACATCATGATAGTAAGACATACGTGGGTAGCATTATACATTGCAAATGAACGTTGTCAGCCTAGGGAGTTTCCTTTATAAGTGGATTTATTAGTGATACTTGCACTTACCTATTTCATTGCACTTTATTGATTCACCTCAGCACATTTACTTTTCTAAATGAGGTTTCAATCTCTTGTAAAGGGTGTACTTACCTCAATATTGGTTGGTTATCGTATGCCTACAACCATGGGATGAAAACGAAATGAAGTGGATTTTCCCGCTCAACCTGGAGGACAACTGTACAATTCAATAACTATACGGCCTGGTTCAAACAATGAGTGTATTTATATATATATATATATATATATATCAAATATTTAACTGTTGAAACATTATTAACTTGTAGACAATCTACGATTTGATATTATATCATACTTGATCGTGCCTGTAAAAATCTCATGCATTCTCGTGTAAATTTAGATGTTTATATGAGAACACACATTGTTAATATGATGTTCACGCTTCGCTGTTTAGGGGTAGTTGTCAGTCACGTCTCGTAAACCGTCAATGCCCAGCTCTTGCTATCCTGGGACTCACGCTGTTTCTTGAAGTTTCTCAGAAACGCTTAGTAATAACGGACGCAAAACCAAAATACCGATTGTTGACTCGAGAATTCTTTATTGTAACACCAACATATAAATAATGTTACCATTAAGGTCTGTGAACGAATATTACAATAATGAATCACAATATTACTTCTAACGGTTTTTTTAATCTTCTTTCTGAACAGCGACTGATGAGACGATGACTGTCGTATTGATGCCTCCGCGAAAATTGGAGAAGTTGGTTTTGTGCAAACAACCATGAATTGATCGTTCAATCTTCAACTACATTGACACTCCCCGGCAAAATACCGATCCATCCCTTTTTTCCATCACGACCAATACACGTTGACTTGGATGCCACTGCGAGAACCTGGGTCACACGGACAGAGCTGAAATGGAAAACAAACAGAAAAGCCAACACACCACAAGCATGTCCACAGCACAATCTCACACAACAATGACGACCTGCGCCTTCCAGTTAAAGGTATCCTCTTGACATCTTGCAACACAATCTCCACTTGCAAGAATGACCCTTGCAGAATGCAACGTGACCATAGCACCACCTCATGATACTCTACGCACATCCTCTTATCTATTCACTATCAATGTGCGTCGGTGGCACAGTGGTTAGGACTCTCGCCGGCCATGCACATGGTCCGGGGTTCGAGCCCGCGCCGACGCACACCTGATATCTATGGTTGACCTGCAAAATTTGGGCTATCGATATCCATGCTGAAAATTCCAGACTTGTACCAAAAAAAATACAGTGTGGAATCAAGCTGTAATAAAAAATAAAAAAAATAATAAAAATAATTACCACTGCGATGGCTTGTCACCCATTCTGCCTCAGCTCTAGTAACGGTGACGTACGCAAACCTCAGTCGTCTACACTCCTGCTCCCCGGCGTGTGGGATCACAGCTTACAATTCTCTCCGTATGCATGTCAATCTCAGCAATAACCTCCCCGGCATATACGATAAATCTGATGTCTTTAACATCAGTCATTTCATTCACGGATGTAGAAGACAAGAAACAACTTCAGAAGTAAGCACGACGAAATTATGCAAAACAAGTAAACGCAATGAATCCAAAAAACATCAATTGATGTGACACACCACACACATATACAAACAGTACACACAAACTCGAAGATCATGTCTCGAT